GACCTGCAGCAAGCCGTAGGGCTGGCATTAGGGACAGTACATGGAAGACCTGAGGCCTTGGGTTAGACTTATGCTTCTCTGGGGCTCTCCTTACCATCTTTCTTACCCAGGGTGCATGTGTCCTTGAATGTGTGTGTCTCATCCATCATGGGTGTGTCCCTGGACTGTGTGTGTCACCAGGGTGGATGTGTTCTTGGATTGTCTGTCTCGCCCAGGTAGGCGTGCCTTTGGATTTGAATCTGGTTTATGGGGAGTCAAGAGGAGTCTGGAGTCAGATCAGCTTTGTGGAATTGTCATAGACAGCTTTGGTGATCTATGGGACCTTTCTGGATGTCCCCACCCCAGGAGTGCCTCGATTTAAAAGCCCAGCCTATAAAAGCTGTTTATAGGATCCCAGGCCTGGGCCCACAGCTGCTAGGGGAGTACAAGCCACGGGCCCATAGAAGGGGAGAGGAAACTCACATTCTGAACCAGCAGCTTTGGGAGTTCCCAAGAAGCTAGCTAGCCTGGGGCTTGTCACAGGAGGCTGGGCCTGTCACCTCCTACCTCTGCCCTGCCCATGAACCAAGATGAAGGGCCATGATGGGCTTATACTTGGACAGTTTCTAGAGCAACCAACAGGACCATATGTACCTTTCAGCAACCAGTGAACGTGGCTTTGGGGTTTGGCTCCTTCCTCGATACCACCTCCTCCTTCCTTTTCTACTTTCCTACATCCTGAAAAGGAAGGTCTAATACCCCAAGGCATGTGAGTACTCCCAGATGACAAGGTTCCTCTTGCCATTGGGAAAGCACCAGCATGCAAGGGCTTGTGTAGCCCTGGTGGTCTGGGCCTCTAGAGGACAGGCAGCGGGTCCCTGCTGATGCTCCTCAGGAAATTGCCCTACCCCCCGCCCCTACAGGATACGGCAGCAAGCGGAAGGCTGTGCTTGGAGAGTTTTAAACCTGCCTGTGACCTCATGCTATGGTTTTGTCTTTTGGCAAAGCATCTGTCCAGGAAAGCTTTGTGCCACAACCCTGAAGCACCTGCCCAAGGCAGCCGACCCCGAGAACCACCTGGACAGTTGGCACACTGAGGACAGCCCAGGGCTTTACCCTGTGCACAGGGAGTGACCTGGAGGCCGGGTGCCACATAGTGGACCTTGGCTGCTTTGTACTTCAGATCATTTCACAACTTGGTCACATCCAGCCTTCCCTGGTGACTCAAGAGGGACCATATTCATGGCTGTCACCCTCCAGCTCCTGTATGCATGTTGCTGTTCTTGGCAGTGTGTCTGAATAGGAGGAAGTGCATCACTGAAGCCCTGGTTGATTCTTTTTGGCTTCAAAGCTAGTGTGAGCTGCAGTGAGTGTAGGTAGGGTTTGTCTCATGAAGACATGCCCAGTCACATGTAGGGTTTGGATCAGTGTCCGTGTTTGGCTCCTCTGTCTACTGGTATTTGGTTGGGCAGGTTCCAGGAAACAAGATGACTGCCTTCACTTCCTGTACTGTGTGAGGCTCTGTCTCCCCACAAGTCATGTGAGCACCGTAAGAGATGTGGGTGCCGAAAGTGGAGGAGTTTACAAGGACCCGAAGATGTATTGAATTGCAAACTAATCTTCTAAATCCTGATATCAGAAGTAGCTGGCATGTAACAGGCTTCATTCATGTGGCTCCTTTGCCAGCCCATGCCTAGACTCTTCAAGGCAGGACTGGTGGTTTTAGTTTCTAGTATCGCTGCCCTCAAGGACGGGGTGCATGTTGGCCAAAGTGTCCTACAATGAGAATTGTGTCCCAGGGGGAGGTTCTTGTGGCCTGTGCACCCCATTTAGGGACTTTGGCCAAGCACCAAGAATTAATCCAAGTGGGATGAAGGGCTGCATCCTGGCATGAAATGTGTATGAGGTACCCAGCACCCCCAGCTGAGAGGAGGCCAACAGGGGCAAATGTCATCTCAGAATGGAGGGCATCTGTTGGTATGTAATGAATACCCAGAGACTTGCAGCTTTGAGTAGTGTTCATCTGACCTCCTAGCTCTAGGATCAGGAATGTGGGCCTTACCTCGCTGTGCTCTGGGTCTAACGGGCCATCATTAACAGCTAGGCAAGCTGGGCCCCTTTTGGATCTTAGGATCCTCTTCTGAGCTCATTGGTGCATCCAGATCCTTCACTTTCTTGGAGGTTCTAGGATAGTGGTCCCTGTTCCTGCTGGCTGTCACCTGAGGGCTACTCACAGCCCTTAGGGTCTCCTCACATGCCTCTCTTTTATATGGCATTCAGATCTCTCAAGACCAGAAAAGGGCTTGCTCTGCCTTCTCTTCGAGGCCTCATCTAAGCCCACCAGGCTTGTTCTTTTTGTTTGACTCAAGATCAGCAGATGAAAACCCTTAATTTGTACAGTTCTCTCTGTCATATAATGTTATGTAGGGACAGGAGTGACCTTGTCATGTTCACAAGGGAACTCCTAAACAAATGTCTACATAGAGAACATCTATACAAGTCAACACAGTCCTGGTGACCCTCCTAGAACCTGTAGGCCTTTCTAGAACTCTGACAACTAAATTCTCTCTCCCTCTGCCCTCTCTTATCCTTCTGGTCTTTTCCACAAACCCTTCCCTGTTCCTCCTTGTCCAAGCTGATGGACTAATACAGCTGTCAAATCTCTTCCCTAGTCTCCGCCTTCTTAGAAAGGAAGTAACAGGCCCAGGACCATGTGTCTTCTCACCCAAGGGTAGGTCTTGAATCTAAGGAGCTTTCGTCATACCCGCCCCCCTCCTCCATCTCCGGGTTCTTCTTACAGACCTCGAGTACCCACTTAGGACATGTAACTGGTGTAGAGCCTTTAAAATGACACCAGGCACCAGAGTTCTGATACAGCCATGATGAGCAAGGCAGCACCCCACCACTGTGCTCCAGCCCCAGCCCAGCCCCAGCCCCAGCCCCAGCCCCAGCCCCAGCCCCAGCCCCAGCCCCAGCCCCAGCCCCAGCCCCAGTTTACAGTGTTGATTGCCCTTTGATTTGAAAGACCTGAGCTTAGACTGATAAGAGGGCCCACACAAACAAAGTCTGCTATAAACTCAATTCCTTGGAAGTCAGAAAGAAATTCCTTGTGACTCAATTTAGATTAGAATTCAACTTAGATTAGAATCGAAAGAGATCAGGGGTGGGCATGGTTATGAACTCCTGAAATCCTAGCATGCCAGGGGGTGGGAAGGCTGAGGCAAGAGGACGGTGAATTTCAGGCTGGCCTGGGCTATGGAGATAGCAAGACCTTGTCTTTTAAAAGAATCAGTAAAAAAGGGCTGGAGAGATGGCTCAGTGGTTAAGAGCACTGACTGTTCTTCCAAAGGTCCTGACCTGAATTCAATTCCCAGCAACCATATGATGGCTCACAACCATCTGTAATGTGATCTGATGCCCTCCTCTGGTGTGTCTGAAGACAGCTATAGTGTACTCACATAAAATAAATAAATCTTTAAAAAAAAAAAAGAATCAACAAAAAAAGAGAGAAGGAAAGGCCAGTTTGTCTTCTGATGTGTATATCTTATATGTGTGTTTGTGCATGTATACATACATACATACATACATACATACATACATACGGTCAGGGAGATAGATAGTACACAGATCAGTTCTCAGTACCTATATCCTATGGGAGTGTGACTCTGAGAAAGCCATGCTTCAGCTCTTGCTACTTACTGGCCAGCCCCACTAGCGAGTTGAGGACTGTCCAGAGAGTGCTGTTTTAAAGTGACCTAGGGATCAGTGAGACATTGCAAAACTCCAAAGCTGTGGGTAGAAGAATTATTGACTGTACAAGGGAGCTTACCTGCCAAGAAGGCAGACTTGATACCAGAGAACCTGAATTCTGGAACATTCTGCCTTGTACTTCTCTCGATGCTGGGTTGAATGAGATAAGGACATTCACACAGTCTATAGACATGAAATGGGGTCAGAATGTCATGTCTGACCCCTTAGTTGGCCTAGTCAGATGTGTTCGGATGACTGGGAATCTACCATCCAGAGCCTTCTACCATACCCTTGGTCGCCTTAGAAGAACCTGAGCTTCTTACACTGCAGAGGAGAGGAACATCTTAGGGCATCAGGGTGGGCCAAGAGGGATTGAGCAGGAGTCTCACAGAGTAGATCTGTCTGTCTGTGAGGCTGTCAGACAGGCCCCGCAGGAACCCCTGGCTCTGACACCAGATACTGCTGAGGAGTATGTCAATACAATATAAAGAAAGCGCTTAGAACAGCGTTCACCTGGCATTTAGTTAGGGCTCCGTGGTCGCCCTCCTGTCCTCAGAGAACAGCAGATGATACCAAACTCTGCTGGGCTGTGTTTCTCCTAGACATATGTGCCTATGATGTAACCTTATTTCTAAGCTGGGCACAGTGAAACAGTAAGACCAATGCTGCAGAACGTGGCCGTCTTAGCATATGATTTTCCTTTCTGTTTTTGCGTCAGGAACTTTCACCTCTTTATTAAAGGGAAGTACTTCTAAGCTCATCTTTGGCATATGGAAACCGTCAGAATCATCACTCCCTATGCTTTGGGGCCATTGCTAAGTAAAATGAGAGCAGGCAACTTCAGTGCAGGTGCTGGCTGTTGCTGGTGCTGACAGTAACTAACAGGCAGATAGTACATAGATGTGGAAACTCTGGAGAAACGGAGGCAACGTTTGAGGAAGGCAGAACAAAATGGTGCCGGATTTGATCATGCAGCTCAGCATTGCACATGTGTAAAAACATAGGAATCAGTTATTTCTGAGATTTCCCATGTAAGGTTTTCAGACTTTGGCGGACCCCACCCAGCTTATTGAAACTCGATAAAGGCGGAGCTCCTGGGCCCACAGCCACACCTCTTCCTACTCCTGACATCCCGGCCTCTCCAGTGCATCTGTGAATCACACGGTGTGCTTGTTAAGCTCTAAACAAGATTTTCTCTCTACAGTGTCATTAACTATGTACCCGGAAGTTGCCTGGCTTGTTCTCTAATAGGGTTTCTGGGTCTGTTTCAGGCGGAGGCCAGGCTTGCAGCAAAGCGTGCAGCCCGCGCTGAGGCTCGAGAGATCCGGATGAAGGAGCTGGAACGGCAGCAGAAAGAGGTAATGGGGGCTGAGCGTTCCGAGGTTGGCTCTTTCTCAGGACTGTGAAGACGGGGTGCCTGCTGCTGTTGAGCATCTGCTCTCATCGTTGTCACCTTAGCATTGCTCCTGCTTGGAATGTGTGTGCTCCTGTAGTTCTTGTTCCACGTTAGCCCCGGAGTGCACATAGCACGGATGCTGAGAATGGCTGCCCAACTGGGGCCTAATGGAGCCTGAGAGGTGCTCACAGCCTGGGAGCTTGCTCTTTAGTCGCAGTATCTAGCTAGGACAGGTTTCTAGCTGAGAAGAGCTGGAGAGGACTGGGTTTGGGCTTCTAACAGTGGGGAGTGGGGTCTGGCTCCTTTCAGAAACAGAAAAGAGCAAAATGATTTCCTTTTAATTTAATTGGTCACCTTCTTTCCCTTAAAACAAAATGTTTTCCTTGAGGCTTATATAGTATCGATCAGTGATTAGTGTAACCTTTGAAATAAGTAGCCACAGGAACAAATGAATGTGCTCTGGGGGACTAGGGTGGTCATCCATCCGTGTCTTCATCCTATCTACTGTGGGTTTTAAACAACTTGAGTCAGAATTTTTTCCAACAGCCAGCATGTGGGCTCTGTAAGTATGTTAGGGTTCTGGTTTCTTCACAATCCTTCCTGTAACTGGTAAATGATCCTTTTGAGGGAGCATTTGCTCCAGCCACATGCTGCAGAGCTTGGCCATGAAGAAAGTTTGAAGCCAGCTGCCGGAGGGGTCCTTCTTATACAGGTTCTGGTTCTATTAATGCAGCCCAGCTGATGGTCGTTTGTGCAACTTCAGATGGAAGCTTGGGATTCCTATTTCTCTTCAGACCAGCAGGTTCCTCCACCAGATCAGCAAGTCCCAAACCTGTCACGTGTACTGTAAGGGTGGCTGAGCCACAGCCTGTGATGTTCATTGTCCTCTGCCTGGGGACTTTACCATCCTAGGAGGAAATATACCAACAGAAGGGGGGATGTGGCCAGACTTGATTTGGGGAAGGAAACTTCCGAGGTAGTGCATGGATAGCCATAGAGTGTGGGAGCCACAGCCTAAAAGGAGGTACCAGAGCCCCAGCGTGGGGGAAGCTAGTCAGGGCAGTCACCACAGTGAGGGGACCTCACCCCTATCCTGTGGTGATCATGAAGTGACCTGTAGATAGGCTTGGCAAACGTCCCCTTTATGCTAAACTGTGAGGAGAAAAGTAAACCAATGATGGAAAATGACTCCTTTTTTCTTTCCAGTTACAAATACAAATGAAAATTTTTAAAAAGTGTAATAATGCATTTTAGTCTTTGTAATTCTACATTTAGAAGTTGGTACTTTTGTGTGTTTTTGTTTGTTTGTTGAGACAAGGTCTCTCTATGTAGCCTTGCCTGTCCTGGGACTCCCTCTGTAGATTAGGCTGGCCTCAAAGTCATAGAGATCCCCCTGCCTCTGCCTCCTGAATACTGAGATTAGCTTGTGCTACCACTGCCTGGCTTTGTGTGTGTGTGTCTATAATTTTTTTCTTTTAGTTTTTTTCCTTTTAATTCTCTGGGAGATGCTTAGTGTCGGTGTTTTCCTAGCATCTGTCTCCCTTCTGAGCAGGTTTATCTTTTTAAAATCAGAAAATAGGTGGTCCTGGGTTTTGTGTTAATTATTTGGGCTTTTCCCAGATGAACTGTGATTAACAGGCCCTCCAATTAACTGAAGTGCCTCCCTCCCTAGTCTCTTGGCCAAGGGTCAGATGGGCCTGAGGGGAATCAGGACTGGGTGAACACCTGTCTGGCTGCTCCCACCAAAAAGCATCTTCAGGAAACTCACCAGAGACAAATATCTGGCCCACAAGTAGAAAATAGGAAAAGACCCTACTGTTGTGTAGGCCACTGTTACACACCTCTGAGCTGGTGCCGCCCAGGCCCCAGAGAACCATCCCAACCTGAGCTCCTTAGCTCACATGACTGCACCATACAAACTGGGCAATTTATTTGGAACTGAATATTTAATGTTTTTAATAACCAAGTCCCAGTTGTTTCTCAGACTTCGTGCTATCTTTTTCTCTGTAAAATATTTCTGCTCATTCAGTAGACACTTGTGGGCCCACTGTGTGTAGGACCCTGCTAGCCCTTCCCATTGCCTGTGGGAGCCACGGGGTAGTTAGATGGAGAGATAGGTAATTCTGGGGCTGGAGGCTGCTGTTTCTTAGGGTTACAGAGGGTAGCTCCTGTCGTCTGCAGAGCCAGGAGTCTTGTGGGAACTGCTCCCACACCCCACCCCCAGCACACACACAAGGCTGCTACACCCTGCCCTAGGCTCCTCCACTATCCCCTCACCCTGGTTCTCCCGTAGTCCTTTGATCTATCTTTCTTTCTTTCTCCCTTTCTTTCTCCCTCTTCCTTTCTTTCTTTCTTTCTTTCTTTCTTTCTTTCTTTCTTTCTTTCTTTCTTTCTTTCTTCTTTTCTTTCTTTCTTTCTTTCTTCCCTTTTGGCAGTAATGGGACTTGAACCTGGGACCTCATATATATTAGGTATTCCATACTGAGCCCCAGACCCAGCCGTAGCAATCTGCCAAAATTTCCAGGGTGTTTTGCTGCTCTGCTAGTTCGAGAAGTCGGCTGCACTTCATGTCCCACTGTCCTTCCAGTGCACAATGTGCCTCGAAGCTTTCTGTCTCAGCTCTTATTAGAGACAAACCAAGGACTCAGGGCCGTGGCATACGGTGAGGCTGTGAGTTGGCCCCACATCATGCTCATACCTGTTAGTGAGCATGGTGTCCTGAGTGACTTTCACCAAGATATAAAATTCCTACAGAGATCAAGGTGAGTTGTGTGGTATGTGTACACACATCTGCTAAGTATACTTTAAACTGTATTCATTCTTACTGATGAGTAACATTGATTAACATATGTGCACGATTATATTTTAAAAAGCTTCTACAAATCCCTGGGCAGTTAGCTGTGAGTGTGGCAGCGCCCACCACCGAGAGGAAATTCATGAGTCCTTACATTTTTTATTTGAGCAGAAAGACATTTGGCCTTGAACACCAAATATCTTCTCCTGCTGCTTTTGAGACAGAATTTGCCAGACACAGAGTCCACAACTGTCAGCAGGTACTGCATAGGGAGAGAAGTAATAACTGTCCATCTAGCTGTCCTGGATCTGGCCTTGTCCAGGAGGCATACATGTATGCTTACACACATGCGTGTGCACAGGTGTCAAAGCACACTTCATATATGCTCGGTATTCCATACTGAGCCCCAGACCCAGCCCTAGCAATCTGCCAAAATTACCAGGTGCTTTGCTGCTCTGCTAGTTCTGGGAGTCTATAGAGAAGAGAGAGAGCAGCTAATAGTCCAAGATTCCAGCTCACCACCATAGCCCCTCACAGACCGCTCTGCCTGTCTTCTCAGTCCTGGCTATTATTAGCAGCATCAGGCCTAACTGGAGCTCATACCATCTGATAGCCCAGGGCACTGGCATTTTAAGTTGTTGATTAAGGAGAAATGAATATGCTTTGGATGACCAGTGTTTAGCCAGTGGGGTTGGTATTTTGTTATAAAATTAGGAAACATGATCCTTGCTTTCTCCCAGGCATGCTGCTCCTGAGCGGGAATGGCTTTCATAGAGGAAGGGGGTCGGAGCCAGGGCAGCCTGGGCGAGCTGAGGAGGTCTCGAGCTCTTGCCGAAGTTGGGGTCACCCAGTAGAGCTTGCAGAGCATTCGGAGAGCAAATATGGGAAAGGCAGAAGTGCTAAGGTGCAGCTCTGCCAGCAGGTCTTAGTATAATGAGCTGTATTCAGACCCAGGGTACTCCAGGTATCCCTGGTAATGACCGTCAACCACACAGATGGCAGGAGCCAATGCAGCAGCATCCTCGGGCTGTGCTTCGGGGCTGGTTGAGTGGATCTGAACATTTTAATGGGCTCACCAGATGAGAATAGCATGTAAGCATTCTTTGAGAAATCGTGGGGATCCTTGGACTAATTTGACGGAGAGCTTGGACCGATAAAAAGAAGTGTTTCTTAACATTTCATTTTGGTTGGAGGTGCTGTGTTTATTTTAGTTGAATGTTGATCATATTTACCTGTGCTTTCCCATATAAATAAAATGCCAGATTTCTAGTCCTGGGCCCTTAGCAAGGTCTGACATGACTCACGGTTTGTGGAATGAATGCAAGTATCCCTGTCTTAATGGAGACTTAAAATAAGAGACAGTTCCAAAGCAAGGCACTGTGTTGGGGAGAGGGAGCCCGTCTTGTCTTTCAGCACAGTCTCATGGCTGCACTGTTTCACTGGAATGTTCTTTCCTATAAATCTGCATGGATCAGGACTCGAAAGCCTCTCTATCAACCCTTTCTGAATCTGACCACTCAATTTCCCACTTAAAATTTGACACTTTCTGGTTAAATATTAGTGTAAAAGGCAGTTTTCTTTTTAAAGGTAACTTCATGTTTATTCTTTGACGATTCTGTACATCTATATATGATATTTTGATCAGAACCCCCTGCCGTTCCCTTTCTCATTCCCCTCCCACTCCTCAGGAGCTGCCTTCTCTTGTGTCCCCATCTCCTTTAAAGCCAAAAAGATGTCTTTAATTCCCTGCTGTGGCAATAGGCTGTGCACCTGCATGAGGTATCACTGGGTTCTGCAGGCGCTGCTGTGGAGGGAGCGAGCGACCCTCATGTGTCATTCAAGACAGCGCCAAACGAGTGAAGACGTGGACCTTAATGCATTTTCTCTTTACGTTCAATCCATAATCTTTGTTTTTCTGTAGTACAGCGTTCTATTTCTGGTTGTCACAGAGCTGTTCTCAAGTTCCCATAATTATAACTGAATTTTCTATTTCTCCCTTTGTCTCTTTCTTCCTTTCCTGTAGATCTATCAAGTCCAAAAGGTAGGCCCTGTCCTTCATTTCTAGTCCGCATGTGCTGCTTTTCCCTTGCTGTGGTCCTGCCACCTGCAGAACAGTGCTGTGCACTGAGCACCCCGCTTGCTGTGTTCACCTTCACCCCTGTGCCCTCATCAGATAAACCAGTCTCTCCTGACACGAGGCAGCAGCCATGCATGGAACACACCCTTCATCATCCATTTGCCTCAAGGAACTGGAAGATTATCTCCAATGGAGAAAAGTGTCCTAATACAAGCCACATTTTTAGAACTGGAAGAAACATTTAAAACTAATATATCAAAAGATAAAAAAAAATTTCTAGATTTTTGTAAAATACTAGTGTAAATTGCCACATATTAAGACATTATTGGGTTAAGTGTCGTAGCACAGTTCTGTAATCCTAGTACAGATCCTCCAGCGACAGGAGGATCGCTGAAGGTTATGCTGGGATTAATGTGGTTATTTGGAGGCTAGCCTGGTTGTTCTACATACATAGTGAGACCCTGTCTCAAAAAATGAGGGTGGATGGATGGATGGATGGACAAACAGATGGAGAAATTAGTTATTAGGCCAGGAGTGGTAGCCCCAGCACTTAAGAGGCTAAGACAGAGGAATTGAAAGTTTCAGGGCAGAAAAGAGTAAAATTCTAGAGATAAGAAGAGAATGAACAATTATAGATTATTGGAGGTAGATTTAAAAGTCTTAATAAAAATTTGAAAAACACAAAGCTTTAGAAACAAAATCCTGCTGTCTTTTCCCAGTCAGCACTGGAGCATTATAGGCTAATGCCCTACAATGTCCTCTCAATTCCATGACAGAGCGAGAACAGTGAGCAGGACATCCTGAGCAGTGGCTGTCCACAGACTTGCTGCAGTTCAGTCAGGATGCCCCCTCCACCCCTCGAAAGTGTTTGCAGGGCTTGGTCAGCCTTTCCTCTGTGTGAGTCTTTCCTGTGGGAGAGCCTGTGTTCTTTCCTGCACTTGTTCAGTTTCTGCCTAGAATGACTCTATCCTTTAAAGCAGAAAGTCAGAGTCAGAACACTGTCTCTCAGAGTTGAGAGCAGCACACAGGCCTCTTAAGCATGTGGCCAATAAGCCTCAGAGCCTACTACAGACAATCCTAAGCTCAGTATGAGGACCCTCAGCCCACCCAATCCTGCCTCAAGTGAGAGATCTCTTCTAAAGAGGCATAAAAGTCCAATGGAGAGCCAGCCGAATCTGTAGGCACTCTGTTCTTGGGCCTAGTATCTAGTATGGGAATGGATACTGAAGCCAGAGTCCTTTGTCTTCTAAAATCGCAGGAGGACTCCGACAAGTTCCAGGAAGACTGGAAAGCCCTCTGATGGCCAGTGAGGCTGCAGGACATCACTGCCCCAAACCCAGCAAAGGGCCTGGATCTGGTCATTTCCCCTCTCGTCCTTCTCTTTCCTGTTCAGCTTATGGTTAGATTTTTGCTGACAGGACTGAGATGTGCCGTGAGAACTGTCAGATGTGAACTCATGCAGGGCGCAAATGGAACTGCCCTGGAAGCCCCACCACGTTGTATAAACGTATCTAAGGGAAAGGAAGGATGGTGAGGGACAGGAGCCAAGCAGGGTTGTCTCCTGGTCCTGTGGCCAGTGGACCGGGTAGTTTCTCTGGGCTCAAGGCTGTTTCTCAAGGCCAAGCACCTGGATCCACTGGAATTGTAATTAAATGTGACTTGGACACCTTGAGTGTTTGCTTTTATTTTATGAGTACACTATAGCTGTCTTCAGACACACCAGAAGAAGGCATTGGATCCCCATTACAGATGGTTGTGAGCCATCATGTGGTTGCTGGGAATTGAACTCAGGACCTCTGGAAGAGCAGTCAGTGCTCTTGACCACTGAGCTATCTCTCTAGCTCTGAGCATTTGCTTTTATTTCCTTTACAAATGTGTATCCTAAAGAAATCTGTGTCACTGCAAAAGGCAGCTCTCACTCAGAGAGGGATAAGGAAGAGTTTATTCTGAGCCAGAAATGAATGACCATTGGCCAGGGAACACAGATTCAGATTGCCACAAATACCTCACCTTTTTATAGTTACAAAGGCAAAAGTAAGTCTAAATCAAGGGATTTTTTTCATATACACTGGTGGAAAACTGTATAGGTAGGTAGGTTAGAGCAGAGAAGAGAGATCTCATAGGTTTTTGGTGCTAGTTGGTAACATTCTTAGGTTTTTGTCAGTCGGAGGTTAGATCTACTAAGTTAATACATTCCAAAGACTTTGACTATCAAAGATGCTGAAGTGGATGATAAGACACTTCAGCGGGAACCTTCACAATCACAACACTCTAATGGGTTCAGCTTGCAGAACCTTCTACACAACCTTCCTAATGCTGTGACCCTTTAATATGGTTCTTCACATTGTGGTGACCCTCCCAACCATACAATTATTTCATCATTACTTCATAACTGTCATTTTGCTACTGTTATGAATCGTAATATAAATCTCATGTTAAGAACGGCTGTTCTCCAGACATGGCTTTCTCTCGTAACTTAGCGGGAAAGACTGCTTGTGTGGCTTTTTTGCACTAGCTTAACATGCTTGGCTTTTCAAGGATGTGTGCAATTCTTCCTCCCTCTGGTTTTCTACTTACCATCATCTCTCTGAGGAAGGGGCAGGACCATGTATCTGAAATCTGGCCCTCCTTCAAGGTGAAACTGAACCAAACATAACCACAGCATGCTCAAGTAATTAGAAAACCATTTCGAAACATCCCTCTACTTCTGGCACCCAGGTTTATATTTCTGATTATAAGCTTTAAGTGTGTAAAAATGTGACGTCCTACAGGTTTGCTGTTGGTTCCTTGATTTTCTTCCTGGAAATAAAGGAGAAAATAAGGGGAAAGGTCAAGCAGGTTGTTAAGCCCAGGTTCTTACCCTGGGGACACCCTAGTGATGGAAGCAGCCATTCTGACCTACTTAGTGCAGTCTGACTGGGTCCACCATGGCTTACAGTAAGTAGGTAAAACCTAGAGCCATTGGTTACAGTCTCTTCCCACTCAAGGGCCTGTTCTATATGTCCTAGACTTTTCCCAGAGTTATGGGTTCTCCAGCCTGCACTGGGCATAGGTGTCGCACAACAGGAACCTGCAGCTAGAAGCTAGCTCAGCACAGCGCATCTCCCTCCCTCCTCTGGGGCCCCTTCCTGGGGTAGCGGCATGGAATGGCTCTCAGCTTGGGCTTCTAGTAGACAGTGTTTGTTCTTCCTGCAAGTATGCCCCAAAGTTGTGAATGGCTTTGCAGAGGGGCCTACAGTGGTTCTGCACAAGGTTTTCTTTCCTGACATCTTGGAAGGCCACTCTTGCCTGATGAGTGTTTTGCCCTGTGCTCCCAAGGCCTGCAAGGAAAGAGGGGAGCTAGTCAGGCCTCATCTCAAGCTGCTACGTTGCTGCTCAGGAAATGACTTCTGTGCAGACCCCAGTTCTGCGGCTGCTGTGCCTGGCATGCTGCCTTCATGAGTGAGTGTGTGCGGGAGAGCATGGTGGAACAGTTTCTTAAGCCTTTACTGTCCATTTCTTGCCTAATTTTCTTTCCCTTCTGTCTATAGAAATATTATGGGCTGGATACAAAATGGGGCGACATCGAGCAGTGGATGGTAGGCCTTGAATATAATTTTAAGAGTTTAAATGCTTTATAATTTAATTCTGACTGCAGTTTAATTATGCCAGGAGATTCCTATTACTCTGTAATTTGATACTCAGAGGTCTTCCTTGGGGCATTCTGCATCTGGTGTGGTTAGAAACGGCCTGGCCAGGCATGTGACCTGTCCCTCTGCAGACAGGACTGCTGATGTCTGCAGGCTGGTGTTGAGTGAGGTCCCATCGCCACCACTCCTCCAGTTCTCTGAATCAGAAGATCCCAGGGCTGAGCATGTGCCTGTGTCTAAGAACTTCCCAGAGAACCTCATGTTACCATCAGAACATCTCGCTGTTCTAGTTAGAACCAGAAGAGGCCCTTGATGGCTTGCTTCCCCCATGCACAGCCCACTGCCCTGTCACCCCCAGCCCCATACTCATACACTCTCCCTATTGGCTCCTCTTGTCTCATCTGTGCCCATGAAAACCCTTGCTCTCCTTCCCCCTTTCCAGCTGTTTTCTTCCACTGCCTTCCCAGTGCAGGCCAGGACTCGCTCATCCCCAGGGAGCCTATCTTGCCCTCAGGCCTCTCAGGAGAGGTGCCCATGTGGCCATGCTCTGGGCAAGACACCCTTTGGTGCTTTCCAGTGATCCCCACCCAGAGCAAGGCCTCTTATTAAGCCACCCACCTCTTTCTATCCTGGCTTCTGTCCTGGACTTTGACGCATGCTTTTGGCATTAAAGACCGGGAAGTGTCTTCCTCAAGGCTCCTCACTATTGAACAGCCTGAGGGAGATTCAAGGCCATCTCTACCATCTTAGATGCTATGCGTGATATAAATATCTATTGAAAGACTCATCATGTTCAGCCTGTGTCAGTGATCACTGTATTGTACATCCTTGAGGTGTGTGTCTTCTCATCACATCTAAGGACAGTTAAACGGTGGCCACTTCGAAAGGACAGTAGCTGATTAGCTGCAAACAACTCAGTAACTCCCACATCCATTCCAGAGATAAACATGCAAAAACCTGTTTGTCCCGGAGTCCATGAAGCAAGCAGGGTGACATCCACACTGAGGTTCTCTGGGAAAATTGTTTCCCTGAAGGAGAGTCAGTCCTGAGGGGAAGAGAGCTGATTTAAAACCAGATTACAGAGTTAGGGGGGAGGGGGACTTCATTTCTGCCCCAGCACTTGCTCGCTGCTTTTAAAGTCACCAACTATGCCAGTTATTCGAGTTCGGAAGGGCCTCTCCAGAGAAGCTATTTCCCACAGTCCTTTAGTTAGAGCTTTTAAACAAAAGCAAAGCAGCAAATACTGATTTGCCATTTAGATCAGAAATGCTAGATTGTGTGGCAGTGGGACCTTCTGGGGTTTCTAAGGATTCTGCCTTGCTATCGCTAACCTTTGCCATTCCATTTGCTTCGGTAGGAAGACAGCGAGCGATACTCTCGTAGATTCCGGAGAAACACCTCGGTCAGTACCATGGTCCACTCCATGTCATGCAGCTTCACTGCAAGGGGCAAGTTCACAGAGCCTTATTTGTTCCTCTAGCAGCTGAAATAGATACAGTGCTTGAGAAGGACTTGCCATTGTTGATATACTACTGCTATCTTTACCTGAATAAAGGTCATAACTCAGCCTTCAGCATTTTGAGCTAAGCTGAGTGAAGAAAGTGTGTCTGGGATTTAAAAAATAACAAAAAACCAGATATTGAACCTCAGGCCTCATTGCAAGTTTAGGTACTCTACCCCTAAACTTTATCTCCTGCCCTGCTTGGAGGTATTAAAGTATTATTATTAATATATTGCTCATAACATTGTAAATGGCTTTTCTTGTTGTTAAATGCCCGTAGTTAATTTTTTAAAATCATGAGGCTTATTAATAACACTCCTTAAAAGTTACCTGTGACATCCTGTGTTTCCATAAACAGCCCTAGGCAAACTGAGGCATACTGAGGGTCTGGGGTCCCATCCTGTGAGATCTCAGAGGGTGACTGGTCCACTCACTGCTCTGGAGTCGGGTCAGCAGGTTTCTTTATGGTCCAGTTCATGGTTGTGTTCTCCTCCTGTCTTTCACTAGGCTTCCGACGAAGACGAGCGCTTGTCCGTGGGTAGTCGCGGCAGCCTAAGGGTCAGTAACGGGTGTAACTGCTTCTGCACGGCACACTGTGTGGGCACAATCCCCGTCCCTGCTTTCAGTCCTCAGATCACAATTCCTGTGCTCAGTTCGTCCCCACCTAACTGATAAAATGTGTATCATTGTATATGTATACTTATACATTATATATATGAATATATGTAACAGTGTATATAAGTTAGCTGAGGACAGGGTGGGCTGGGGAGAGTAGGGGATGTTACTTTATTGCTGTCATTCCCTAAAGAGTGGTGGGCATCATTTTACATTTTCGATAGTTTTCCACAACACAAAACTGTGAAACTTTGGTTAATGACCGTCTCAGAGTCAGTATGATGGACAGGAACATGAAGGTACTGCATGCCCGCCCACCCACCCACATGCTCTCCAGGAATGCTAACCTTGGCTAAACCATCCATAAGTTGGACTTGAGAAGTAGTTCAGTTGGTCAATGGGGACCTGGGGTCCACCCCCCCCCCCCCCCCCCCCCACAGAACTCCTGTGAAGAAGGCCGTGTGTGGTGGTGTGTGCTTGTAATTCCAGTTCAGAGGACAGTTAGTGAAACTTGCTGGCGATCTAGCTTAGCCTTCTCAGTAAATTCCAGGCCAATGAGAGACACTGTCAAAAAAAAAAAAAAAATAGAGGACATTTCTAGAAATGACAGCTAAGGTTGTCCGCTAGCCTCCACAAGCACACGCATGTGTGAGAAAGCATGCACATAAGTAGCCATAAGTTATTTATGATGTTTCTGCAATTGCTGGAGGCTCCCCTGGAGCCTTCTGGCTCTGCAACCTTTCAGTCAGCTGTAATGAAGGCTCTTTGTGGTGCTGGAGATTGGACCTAAAGCCTCACAGGTACTAGACATGTCCTTCTACTGAGCACAGCTCCGGCCCTAAACGCTCCTCACGGGCAACTTCATGGCTAATACACACAGCCTTTGTAGCTGCAGTAGAAGAAACTGTGTCTTGCAGGGAAGTGAAGCAGAACGGTTGTGTTTTAGCTTAGTAAGCAGGTCCCCTTGATGAGCTGTAGGGTTGATATGGGATCTCCCGGCTGTCATAACTAGGTCTCCACGCAGCTGCTCTGCTTTGCTAAGAGACTTTATTGAGCCGAGGGTTGGTTTATTATCACCGTGACAGTTATGTCACACAATATTACCCCTTGAATAAGCATGCATCAGGTGTGTGCTTAACTTGGCATGTAGCAATAAAACCCTGAGGTAGTACACCAGCCTTGTGGCTTAGCCACCATCACCGACCCTGTCCTCTTAGCACTGAGAGCAGACCCTGTGTGGCTTTGCTGGATAGTTATACGTGAAACAAGGGAGGTGACACCTTGCTGCTGGGACATTCCGGCTTCCGGTTTTTCCTGATACAGATGATGCAGCTGTGACTTCCTCTTAGGCCCTCCATCAGACACGGTCTGCTTTTAAGGAAGCAAGGTTTACATAAGCAAAATATAAGTACAAGCACAGCTTGCAACATCTGTGGCCAGGCCCAGCCAGTGGGAGGTGTTAAAGGTCTGGCCCTTGAAACCAAAGGGAGGAAGAGCAGTTGCGGACCAGGGGAGGGACTGGGGAGAGCCAAACAGAGAGCTGACCCTTGGATGTAGCCTCCTGGTGGTGACTTTGCAAGAGAGCCTTTTCCAGAAATGGCAAGCTGGAAGCCTAATGAACAGATGTCTGAGGTAGTACAGGCAGGAGACTGAAGCAGAACCCAAGTCTCTGGGACAATGTGTCGTCTTCAGACCTGTGGTCCTCTAGGGTTCCGCAGAGAGGAATTTCACTATTTTAAGATTCCAGATGGGATGGTGTGTGTGTGTGTGTGTGTGTGTGTGTGCCCCTAACTTCAAAGAGTTTACTGAAGTTGCTGCTCTAGCAAGTGCTGGGTGTTCATTCCCCTTCCACGTTAGCCTCTAGTGAACTGAGTCACCATCCTGGACATCTTTGTCAGATACCAGTGTATCTGTCCTAAGGCCCAAAGTTTCCCACAGGAAGTCCACTGTGAGCAAGCTAAGGAGGACCATGGGCGAAAGTCACTGAATGTCACCGTCAGCCTCAGTTGACTACATAACTCTCCCATGATGTGCAGGGAAAGCCTCGAGCCACCAAGCCATGTCACCAAGCCTGACAGCCTGAGTTCAGACCCTGGGACCCACATGGTGGAAAGTGAGAGCTGTCTTCTGAAAGCTGTCTTCTGAGTTTCATTTCTACCACAGCACATACCGATCACCCCCAAAATTAGTTAGGGTTTTTTTTAAATTTTTTAAAAAACTATGCTCTTATGGTTTTTTTTTCCTTTCTTTTAGAATTTGAGAGCTGGGGTCTTGGAAATAAAAATCAAACCTGCTATTCTCATTTATTGTAGAACGAAGTCTAGAGCATTTAGGGACCCACTAGAGGTCACAGTTCTTAGTGACAGTTACAGCTACTGCTCCCTCAGAGCCTTTCACAACTGCCAGATGTCCAAAACTCTGTCCCCTGCTGGCTAGTACAGCTGAGGGAGGGAGCGGGCAACCCTGCTTTGTAGACATGTCTCCCCTTGTGTCTATGGAGGCTGGACTGTGCCGCTTAATATATTTTAATATTCTGAAGTCTTTACTTTGAAATTTCTAAGATGGTTTCTTTCCCCTGACCAAACACCTTCTCTGTAGTGCTGGCAATGATGATAAGCCCTAACGGCCAAGAAGGGTGGCTACCAGGCATGGTCCCCTGAGGAAATCAAGATTGAGGACTATTGTAAGGTTTTAATTATCTTTATTTAAAATCTGATGATATAGCTCCAGACTTTTCTGTAGTTTAATGAGAACGTATCTATGCCACGAAGGAAGTAAGGCTCAAAGGGTTTTGTGTTTCCTGGACTAACAACTGTTGCATAGAAGCACCTTAGTGTCCTTAGATTTTAGAATGACTGCCATTCTGATAATACGTATTTCTTTTAAGTAAGACATTAGAAGACATGAGAAGTTTGTTCGTGTTAAGATTTTCGAGGTTGCCTGGTTTTTGCCTCTCTGTGTGGCATCTCTCTGATTCACTTTTGCTCCCGTTTCTATTTTCCCCTTCCACTCTTGTTCCAACAGGCACAGCCCGAGCTGGAGTATGGGAGTCCTTATGCCTGGGTGAGGTGGTCAGATAATTTTGCGGTGTGACTCTAACTGTGTGCAGTGACAGATCATAACCATGGTGTTTTTTACTAACTTCTTGGATGCTTTTCCAAAAACCCAAGTCCATCTGCTGGTCTTCACCCAGGACACTATGAGTCAGGAGGGCACGGCTCTCTCTAGAATGATCCATCTCCCTCCCAGATCCTCCTGGCCTGTGGATGGGGCCCTAAAACCAGGACTGTATGTAGTATTGGCTCCCGCTCAATAGCAGGTGCTGAAGGTTGGCTGGCTGTCACCCACCATGGATGGGGTCCCCAAAAACCCACCCAACCAAGAACTCCCAGGGCCTCTCTGTGTCCTTTTAAAAGACTTAAGTGTGAAGAAATCACTTCACTTAATAACCCCATTCTTCCCTAATCTGTATCTATTCAAACTAAGCGGACCAACTGGCACTTCTGCTGGGAATATAACCTCTGAAAAAGTTCCAGCAACAAAAGTAAAGCCCTCTGGTCTAAACCTTAAAGTGACAGTCTATCCGAGCGTCCCAGTGCCATCTGTCTTCCAGAAATGCATACAGTTTACATTAAAAAAAAAAAAAAAGTCTCCAATGAATTTCGCAAATCCTATAGCCTCTTCTCTGGGATTGCACAGAGACGATTTTATCCCGAAGCCCCTGGGGTTCATTTATTCTCCACTTCAAAACTATTTGAAAATCTTACTTTTATGTTTATGGCCATCATTAATAAATAGTGCCGTGTGTCGGCTGAGCATGCTTGATCCCCAAGATCAACAGAGAGCTGGATAGAAGAGCTGAGTGTGAGAATTCCCACCCCCGTCTCACACACTGAGCACTGCAACAGTCCTAGCCTGGTGAGGCAGGCCAGCTAGGAAGAAGCACAAGAGAGGGCCCAAGATGGAGGATGTGCCCCCAGCACCCGATCCTCAGCCACAGAGCACGGCCACAGTCACACTGTGACACTGGCAGTTCTTGGAGCTTTAAGGAATCAAATGCATTCGAACTTGTTTCTAGACCTCATCTTTTTTGTTTTAAACTGAAAGTCAATTTTGAGGGCCAATCTTTGGGCTTCAAGTGCCCAGGGCAGCAGCCAAAGGCATTTTGAACTTCAGTTCATGGCGTCTTCTCTTTCTGAAATTAACTTGAATGCTTCAAGTATGCCACTAGCTTCTACTCACGAGTTTCAACAAAACTTTCTTGTTTCGTTTCCCATTTTAAAGACCTCTGAATGTGTTCCGTGACTTACATAGAAAAGCAGACAGCACGCACTGTGTATCAGAAAGGCTGCGGGCTGCCACTGCACAGCCATGTTGGGAGTGCCCATGTTTTGGAGCTAGATAACAGCTCTGAAGGGTTTAGTGTTAAACACATTTCAGAAATGTTTTTTGGAAGGTTTTTTTTATATGCTCCTGTTTCACTTCAAAACTTTTGTGTTTTGTTTTGGTGGTGGATTGGGTTTGTTTGTTTGTTTGTTTGTTTTTTGAGTTGTTGTGAAGCAAGCCTATAGTTTATAATGAAGGTCCCATGACTGTGGAGTTAGAGTCTGTCTCTCAGTTGCTTATCCTGCATTAGTACCATACTCTTGCTATACTGGAGTGAGGCCACCCAGTGCCTTCCACAAGCCACGCCCTCCTGCCTGCTGGTATACCCATCAGGTAGTCATGTGTGCCTACAGAGGCTACCAATGTTCGCAGGAGACTCATGGACACTCACGTGCCCCTCATCGTGGCCCCAGAATTTATTCATTTTTGTGAATATTATCATAGCTGTAAAAGTGCTAGTGGGTTGAATAACTTGCCTAAGAGCACAGGGCAGACCTTGCATTTGCAGTCTCAAACTCAGGTCTGAGACAGATAAATCCTCTTCCATCTTTTCCAGA